CCTCCCCAATACCCCCTATACCACCCCTATACCACCCCTATGACGCGTCATCCCTTTTTGGTGGATAGGGATGGGTTATCCTTCTTATCCCCTTCTGCATGCGTTAATGACAGTCCATGCCTTGTTTTGTGGGTGGTGATAGGTTATCCCTTTTTGGGCGGGTGAGGATGGCTTATCCCTTCTTTTTGCGGGTTATTATCAGTCATTCCCGGTTGCCCTGGGCCTCTTCCCTGCATAGATGTGTAGAGTATGACCGATACACTACGGCAGTCTGACTGTGCTGAAAATAGAGATGAAATTTTGAGATTGACCAATTCATGGAATTGTGGGCCCGAACCTGTAGCACAGGATATAGTATAATGAAAATGCATTGATCTGCTCACACAGCAGCATTAAAGCAATGACGGGGTTTGCTGTTCCATCTGTGCCCTCACTCATTCGGTTTGCCATTTTGTTGGATTTTGCGCTTGCAGGGGTTTTGAGGCGATGTGTATCAATGAGTTTACAGGACTGACATTTGATGCCAAGGAGCCGACAGATGTCAGGCGAGGAGAGCAGGTAAGCCATTGGGAGCCCAGCTCAGACCTCTGGGAGAAGGGCTATGGCCAAAGTGGTTATGGAGGTGGCTAAGGTGGCTGCGCTAGCTATGCTGGCTATGGCGGCTAATACCCGGCTATCATGGCTATGGTGGCTACGGTGGCTGTGGTGGCTGTGGTGGCTATGGTGGCTGTGGTGGCTATGGTGGCTATGGTGGCTGTGGGTGGCTGTGGTGGCTATGGTGGCTATGGTGGCTAGGGGGTGGGTTGGAGAACGAACTTTAATTCACATTGTCGGATAGGCACACCACCATGTAGTAGGCTTTACTGATATGATATACATAGCTCTGGGAGACGGGCTAGGGCCAAAGTGGCTATGGTGGCTATGGTGGCTACGGTGGCTGTTGTGGCTATGGTAGCTATGGTGGGTATTGTGACTATGGTGGCTATGGTGGCTATGGTGGCTATGGTGGCTATGGTGGCTATGGGGGCTATGGTGGCTATGGGATTGGTTGGAGTACTTAGTATACATACCTCTGGGAGAAGGGCTAGGGCCAAAGTGGCTATGGTGGCTACGGTGGCTGTTGTGGCTATGGCAGCTATGGCGGCTATTGTGACTATGGTGGCTATGGTGCTATGGGATTGGTTGGAGTACTTAGTATCATTCTCATCATTAGTATCATTATCAGCATTTGATAAACATACTATCACCACCGTGTAGTGGTGTGTACTGATATGATATACAGATTGGCTAATGCAGTGGGTTAGGATCCATCGATGGGAGGCCTTTTGTTTTTCTTTTTGTTTTTCTGTTCTGAACCTTTTTTGGGGAAATTGTTGAAATACCCCTAAAAGTTTGGTTAGTTTTGTCAGATACCCCTAAAACACAGGGGTAAGCTGAAATGCCCCAGACTTCTGCATCTGCCCCTGCCCCGCTCATTGGCAACTTCACCATATGCCCTTGCCCTGGGCCGCAGGGGCCCGTGCATTTCTTTTGCTATCTGCAGGGTCCAACGGCCAGAAATACCGGGCCATATAGACAAGTTGCCCAGGGCCTGGTAGGGGTATATGCAAAAGATGACAGGTCCAATTGGCAAGTGGGGTATTTCAGAAAGTTCCATTACTGTCAGAGGGGCATTTCGTCACACCCATGCCTTTTAGGGGTATCTGACAAAGTACCCGAACTTTCAGGGGTATTTCAACAATTTTCCCTTTTTCTTCTTTTTTTTTTTTGTGAACAACCTATGGCGTCCTGTGAACAACCTTCGGGATGATACGAGCGCCAATGGATCGAGGAGCCGTAGTGGCAGGCTCTGGTCTGAACAATTTTAATTTTTCACTTGTGAAGATTTTCAGAACCTACATTCTGCCGCCCATCAGCTGTATAGACAAAGAGGTTTGGTAGGCAATGATTTAGAAGGGTTAAAAAAAGGGGGCAGTTTTGAACCCTATCCTGGAGAAGTTTGCGATTCCTTGCCGACCCCTCCAAACCTTCAGGCAGCCATTGATGAATTCCATCAAGAACTTGCCGAGTGTCCCTTGCCTCCGAGGGCGGTGGCAGCGACTGGCGGCTGTGACGACTAGCGGCCAAACGTCAGAAAACATACTAGGGGTTTAAATCAAACTTATCTCACAGTCTCTGTGCAGTACCCAGCACATGTGGCTGAATGACATACACATGTAGCTCTTGGCAAACAGATCATGAGTTTCAATCCTGATGAAATCAAATAACTGTACTATTTGTCATCACCTGAGTTTGAATCCCAATGGAATCAAATGATTTAATTGTATCGCCTAACTACATTTTTTCATAAAGAAGAATAAATAATAATAACATTATAACAAATTACGAGGGCTTATGCCTCGGCATAGGGCCCTGCAGCAGGAGTGTGCCCGCCCTAAGTGAAGGCGGGCCCCCCTGAATCCCAATGCGCCCTGAACTCATCAGTTTTTGCAAATCTTGGTCGGCGACAGACAGTTGGCACGCGCCAGTTGGTTACATCCGCCTTGCTTGTGAGAATCCGAACTATTTGTGAGCCTTCCAGGCTCTTCCAGCAGCGTGGTCAAAGCAGGGAGCATCGCACGTTTGTGCCTGGGTGGTTGGGCATGCCTAACCAATTCGGTCTCAGGCCACTGTCTGAATCGGGCCTGGGCGCAGACACTTTGGCCGAGACTGAAGCTACTGGAAACTTGGTCTCACGTGGGAAGCAAGTGGAAAGCACCCGCCACTTTCCATATAGGAAAGGGCTGGGCTCCGGTCGAGACGGTGGGGCACTTTGTAGAGCGAGTGGCAGCGCTGCTGGAGTGAGCGCTCGCGTGCTGGTGCTAGAGCCAGTGCAGAAGCGTGCGCGTGCGGTAATGTGTGGGAGAAGGGCTCTGCTGTGGGCAGCGCCATAGCCCAGCCCACGTAGCCGGGGTTGGGCTTGGACAGTCAGCGGGAGGTGGCAGTGGTCTTCGTGTAAGAGGGAAAAGACGTGGGTGATGAAGTCGAGGGTGAGAGAGAGAGAGAGAGAGATGAGGTTGATGATGTGAGGGCATGTACCTGGTCTTGGCGATGGTCTACAAGGGTCGACATCTTCATGTACTTCGGTTGCTGCTGCTGACGTCAACGGGATGCATTGTCAATTTGTAAGCTGCTAGTAGCTGTGTAATAGTAGTCTGGGCGCTGAGCGCCAAGTAGGAGGAAGGGCTCTGGATACATATGTTGGTGGTGGCGAGAGTATGCTCTCATTGACATTCAAATTCAGTGATTTTCGTTTCTGCATTGGTGGAATATCAGTCCATTTCTGCTTTCTGGACAGCGTTGGACTTCTGGCTTCATTGTGATTTTGCATTCTGGAAATTCTGTCATATCGCTATCGCTCATGTTCCTTGCAAAATTAAGTAAAATGGAAAAATAAAATAAAAAATATGTGGAGTACCCTACTCCCTCCCTTGCAGAATTCCTGCATCCTTTTCTCCATTAACAATTCCAAAGCTGACCCTGAGGTGTGTGCCACACTTACAGCTGTTGCCAGAAGGAGAGAAATAAAAGGGCCTTTACGAATTAGACCCCAGATGAATGCCCAACAGTGAGGGGCGCATCCAGAATGAGATGAAAAGTCGTTTTGAAAAGTCACAAATAGGTCCTGACTCCTGAACGAACAGGTATTGGACACAGTTTTCAAGACTGAGTTAGGGTCATGTCTCCTCGATGAAAAGTCACCTCTGTTCGGCAATGAGTCAAAGGCCACAGTCCCAGTTAAGTCATAATCCCACGAGTCAGTCCTGATTCAGACCAGGAGTCCAAAAGACAGGGCCGATGGCCCAAAGCAGCAGCAGACCATGGGAAAAGATACTGGGACACACACTTTGCAACAACGGGTACTGGGCAGGAGTCCCAGACACTTGAGGCTGAATGCAGGCCACGCCAGGCCAGTCCAGCACTATGAAGGACTGGCCAGCCTCCCATTTGGACAGATGCTCACTTCGCATGAGAGTGTGGAAGTGCCGTGGCACTTGTGCGCTAGATATGCATTTGCTGCGCTACATGTGAAGACGAGAAGAAGGGTGCTGGCTGGAGGAAGGCAGCCATAGCTGCGCCAGTGCTAGTTAGTTGAGAGTAAGTAGGGATAGTTAGTAGAAGGGTTCAGTGAGTAGTATTCAGAGTAGATCCTCGTGTGATAGGGAGTGTGCATGCATGCTGAGTGTGAGTAGACCAGGACTATAGACATAGAGGGAGAGAGAGAAGAAAGCGGACAAGAGAGGGGGAGGTGTGAGCTATGGTGTCACTTACCTGTTGAGCGCTGTTGTTGACGTTTGGCAGTTCTCTGATGTGCGCCAGGATTGAAACTCATGATGATTGAAGAACACATGTAACTCTGTTTGGCGCTGTACACTTTGAACTCACGATGTTCTCTCTCTAATTCTGGGTTTGATAATTGAGTTGAGCCTCCTGGTTCTCGTTCATCTTGTATTGGGCTTTGTGTGAGTCATCGCAATTTGTGAAATCTGTGAATATGCATGTGATTTGATGCACTCCAGCATGTGATGAACAGTAGGGTTCCTTGCAGAAATGACAGCTGAGTTTTGACAGGCATATGGCAAGCCACTGACACTTGGTGTGTGTGTGTGTGTGTGTGTGTGTGTGTGTGTGTGTGTGTGTGTGTGTGTGTGTGTGTGTGTGTGTGTGTGCGCGTGTCCAAACTTCCTTTTTTTTTTTGGTTCGTCTGTGTGTCGAAACTCAGGTGTTGGAGCGGTTATCGTTCGATAAGACGACATTGACTGGAGCACTGTGCTCAGAAGCACGCATCATGGGGTCATTTTACCTTCTTACTCTTTTTATACTTTCCAAGAACAAGCCTCGTTTCCAGCCTCTTGTTGATGCACCTGTATCCTCATCAAGTGTCAACACTGAAAGTTTTCCAGAGCCGCTTCAGGATGACATGACTGTTACATCAACTCCTATCCTCACCAGAGAATTCACTCTCCCCATCACTGCTGCTCCTGCTGACGCTTCTACCTCTCTTTTTGCAGCTGTTGGTGTTTTTGCAGCCCTTCCTGATGCTGATGTACCTTCTCCTGTTCCTGCTGACGCGGTTCCTGCTTCTGTTCCAGATGGTTCAGCTGCTGCTCCTGCTCCTTCTCCTCCACCTGCTCCAGCTCCAACTGCTGCTTCATCTACTCCTGCTGCAACTGCTGCTCCTGCGACTGCACCTTCTTCGTTCTCCACTGATAGTGTTTCTGCTTCTGTTCCTGCTGCTCCGACTGTGGCTTCCACTCCTGGTTCAGCTTCTTCTCCCGCTCCTGCTCCTGCTCCTGATGCTGTTGCGCCCGCGGTGGAAAGCATCGCAACAGGAAATCTCCCCATCCAAAGCGCATACGGCACCGTTTCGACGGATAGTGCCAGTGCTGATGGTGCACAGCAGTTGAACCAGGCAGGTGAGAGTATTCCGAATGTGACTGTGCCACCAGAGCCCACACCCCAGGGCTCTCCACCTCCTCCTCCAGCCACTGTCGCTACTGCAGCTACCCCTGTATCAGCGACCAACAGCACGAGTCAGGCTCTCAGCACTTCTGCTGCTGATCAGACTGCCCAAGCGCCAACATCGTCTGATACGTCAGCAGGCGGTTTACCTGTTGACGCTAGTGGGGGTCAGGCTCCCATCGGTAGCAAACCCGTTGAAACAGTTATCTCATCCGCCACCGCATTGCCGACTGTGTCGCCGGACACCCCGGTTGTAAAGCAGGGCCTGGCTGATGCTGTGTCCATCACCAGTGTGCCCTCGTCGCCGGCAACGATCAGCAACGGGGTGCAGCAATCGGGCACCGCTTGAGAGTCTGCTGCATCACACGTGTGAAATATCCTTCGCTGCTCAGCTTTGCTTGAGATGGAAGGACCCTTGTAGACACCGATTTGATTGGAATTTGGAGGAGCACGTGTTCTTCTGAGAATTGGCCAGAACTTGTCAGCGGTTGGAATTCGTTGTAATTCAGAGCTCAGGTGTGTGTTCCTGAGGTCAAATAAGGCCGTTCCTTAAGGCGGCGACATTCTGTACCCCATTCTCGCACCCGCCTGATAAGTGGGTGAAGATCTGCTTCGCATCGCCGCACAGTGCATGAAAGGTGGAAGTTCAGACACATAGGAAAGGGGTTATCGCCTTTTGCTGGAAGCTTCAGACGAGTGTCTCGTCTTCAAGATCAAGCTCTCTCTCTCTTTCGTATTTATGATTTTATGTATACCAGGATATGCTACTTCAAAAGAGAATCAATGACATGTAAAGAGGCAGGCTATGTACTATCTCAGGACGCACGCACACTAGCTTTGTTATCTTGAATGTATCTGACGGCAACGACTGGGCCTGGATGACTCTGGCTGCAATTGCAGCCGTAAAGTCCTGGATGAATCTGACCGCAATTAAGTCCTCGTGTCACTATGCCTTCATTCTCGCGCACCAGATCAGTGTGCGAATATGGCATCCGAATCTTTGCAGAGACACACATGCAGGAGTAGACAAAAAAGGAACACGAGGAAAGGTCTTTTGATTAGAAGTGAGGAAATTAGAGATAGGTCTTTCGAGGATCCTTTACAAGGAGACTATCATATTACGTAATCCTCACAGCTGATTGTTTTGGACGGCTGTCCAAGCAACTCCGCACAAGCACACGCAGTAGACGCTGTAGGTAGAAAAGAAATAGTCTCGGATCGAATGATTAAAAACAGAATCAAAAAGCAATTGAAGAAGGTTTTCTCAACTTCTCAGATGCCATCACTATGTTTTGAAGGTCAGTCAGTCTCTGTTTAGCATTCATTTAAGGACACTTTCCCCTCTGGAGAATGCTGCAAAGTGAGCGAGTAGTTTACCCTTTTTATTTACTGGTCTCTGCAACGGTTGGTCTCCCTCTGTAGAAGAGAGGGCTGGCGACCGCTGTGTGTGTTTTCTTCTTGCTGCATTGACTCAGAGATTTAAGGCCAGGCTCCTCCATTGGCCTATGGAATTCTGTCAGACAGGTAGAAACCTGGTACAAAGGTAGAAAGTGCTAGAAGTCCGGTACCGGCTAGGAACCTGCTATGTGGGTAAAAACCTGGTACACAGGTAGAAAGTATTTGAAACCTGGTATGCAGGTAGGAACCTGGTACATGGGTAGCACCTGGTAATCAGATAGAAAGCAGTACTAGACACCTGGTACCTGGGTAGAAACCTGGTACCTGGGTAGAAACCTGATAACTGGGTAGAAAGTTACTAGAAACCTACCTCGTGGGTAGACGCCTGATGCAGAGGTAGACAATACTAGAAACGTCCTACGCAGGTAGAAAGTACGAGAAACCTGGTGCACAGGTAGAGAGTACTAAGCACCTCCAAGCGCCTGATACCCAGCTAGCAACCTGTGTGGTATGTGGTTAGAAACCTGCTTCCCATGTGAAGCTGCCAGAAATTGAGTGTGGACCTGTGTGGTCTAAGAGTAGAATACCCGTATAATATATGTGCGCTTCTTCCACCTCCGTGGCCAAGGCTTTGTGATCCTGGAGCAATGCAATCGAATGGTCTCATTCAACTCATTCAATGTACATTTGTATTTCCTCACGAAATCAATTTGTTCATTATACTAGTTATTTCAGTTATAGAATCAATGACGTGTATGACGTTAATGTTTATGACACACTCTATGTAGATAAGGTGTGTGTGTGTGTGTGTGTGTGTGTGTGTGTGTGTGTGTGTGTGTGTGTGTGTGTGTGTGTGTGTGTGTGTGTGTACGCGCCTATATTTTTCGTGCGTACATACTCGTACATGTATCATGTATGTATTGTCACAAAGTATGTGAGGGGTGCGTGTGTGTGCGTGGGTGTGCCTATATTTGGTCATGCTCACATATTCTGACGTGTATCATGTATTTATTGCCACGAAGCATGTGAAGTACTACCCGTATGCCTTTAACTTTTCCGGAGCCAGATGCTGTGAAGCTTTTTGGTTTCAACTGTCTGCATGAGGTAATGTTATCGACATGGTTTTCGTAGCATGTTTGCATACTGCAATTGTTTCTTAAGTTAATCCAAAATGTAGTAAGAGTCGTGATGCAAACACCTTGCTAGGAGTTTGGGACTGGTCAGGATGCAGAAGGGGACAGGAGAAAGACGATGTATAGCAGACAGATAATTCTGCCGAAGTGGTGGGCGGCTCAGGTAAGTGGGAGGGAAAATTGGGAGGGGGGACAGGGGTGCCACAGTGTTGTTGGCACTGTGGTTTCCCTAGGCGGGCAGCTGTGTTTCAGTGCTTCACACCAGACGGCTTTTCCCAAAACCACGACCCATCGCAAGGCCAGAGGCACCAGAACAAGAGCATGACATTCAAACGAGAATGTCATCGTACAGACGGACCGAACCTCACGGCAAGAGCTCAGCCTGAAGGTTGAGTCCAGGAGAACAGCTGACGAACAACAGTGAGGAAAAAGGCAGGGGACACAGCAGTTGATGACAAGATGTGGCAACAGAGAGCAAAGGCTGGAGGGCATGGGGGAGGTGGGTGGGCAGACAGACAATACACAGTGCGCAAGGGAAAACTAACACGCCAAAGAAACATAGCAAAAGCAAAGAACAGCAACCCAAAAGAATACAAGTACCAAAACAAGCAAAGACCGGGGGGGGGGGGGAAATGATGAAGGAGAGAGGAAGGGGGAGGAACAATACCTGCTGTATCGGGTCACGTCCAGACTATGGGACTTGTCCTGGGACACGAGGGAGTGGGAGTGGCTGCCTCAGAGGATGCACAACCGGGCCACGCCACTCCAAGAAGTGACCGCGAAAAATATTTACATCTCCCTGTTGGAGCCCAAGAACATCAGCAACGAGCTGAAGTGTCATTGGGCTATAAGCGGGATTGGCTTTCTAGTGCATATGTAGAGAGATGGAATGAGCAGTGTGCACTAATGTCAGCCCTGCCAGACCAGAAGCCTGTCTCTTATACACATCTAGATGTGTATAATCAACAGGCACTCATGTCAGCCCTGCCAGTTCAGAAGCAGGCCGGCTTGTTGTGGCGAATTTACCACCTGGCAATTCCGACAGCACAGTGGCAAGCCTCTAAAAGTCAATTTAAAGACCAGACCTGTGCGGCAGGATGTGGCCAGGTGGAGACCCTCCCCCACCTCTTTGTGCGATGCCCGGTGGTCCGGGCATTCTGGATGTGGTGGGCAAACGAAATCGCAGACAAAACACCACTGAAGGTTGATGAAACGGACGATGCCACGATCTTATCGGGCACCCTGATGAAGGTGAACAGAAAGGGGTTCGGGGAGCTGATGGCGGATACGAGCGGTGGTGTTGTGGGCTCTATGGACATTGAGGAATGCGAGATGCAGGCAAGGCGCGATGCTGTCATTGCAAGCATACCAAGAGCGGGCAATGGAGAACATCAGAACCGCCCTAATGGCGGACTTACGCCGGAGCGAGCATATAGGGGAGGCCAGGGTGAATGGGTTCTGGGAGAGATGGGGTCCATACCTGCAGCTGATAATTTGGGATCCCCAAACAGGCCGATTGCAGTATGGCCCCATCTTGCAGCGCCACGCGCCTGGGTATGATAGGAGTGAAGAACAGCCCTGACGATAGGTCCATGAGACCGTGATGGGATGCCGGAAGTGTACAATAGGTAGCTGCCTGAGTAGGAATTGGTAGTTAAAGAGGATCTACTTTTGGTACTGTAGCATATTAGGCTCTGGTGGAAGGTTGGGTGGAATAGGAAGGCTTCTTTGGGGTAGGGGGAGAGGGAGAGGGGATGTGGAGGACGGGTACATTTGCAAAAAGGAAAAACTCGGTGATGCAAGCTGGGGACCATTGATGATCAAATGCAGGTAAAGCATATATGGTGCAGCGAGAAAGGAAAGCCTGCTGGTTGATAGGGGGAACAGCAGGAGAGCATGGGAAAAATATATCTGCAGGGATGAGGGGTAGTAGTAGGGTGGAGAGGAATAGTTGGAATAATGAATCAATGATTGCTGTTCTTTTCTTTTTTGTGTGGGTGCTTCTTGTTTGAATGGATAGGACTAGACTTAAGACTTGCGGCCCGAGAGGCTGCTAGGAGGGCCTCCCCCGCGCCTTGTCCTCCCTAAGGCCCACCTGATGCGTGACTGGGTGCTGCTAGTAAGCTTCCCAGCCATCAGATGGCCCCTAGGAAGGCGATGGTTTGTGGGGGGAGGGGGGTTCGGCTCGTAGCAGTCCCCCCCTTGAGTAGGTGACTAGTACTGCAAGGGCTGGGATGACCCTTCTTCACTTTTTTTTTGTTGAATCCAATGTGAATTTTGAACTCGTGCTTGCGGGTAATGAGTAACCGAACTGATGCCCCTCAGAATAGAAGGGGCTGGTGTGTTAAAAAAAGAAAAAAGAAAAACAAAAAAGAAGATTGTTTCGTCGGAGTTGCACTGACTCATCAGGAGGCTGAACGCTCGACAATCTGCGGAATCTCCATATTGATGGTTTGGGTCATGAACCCTTTAACTCATGTTGAAGACAGACTGTCCACAAGCGGAACACAGCAGCAGGGCAACAAGTCAGCGAAGCACCAGACAAGGCTGCTGGAGCAACCTGACTGCACAACGCCAAAAACGACTGCAAGGAGCCACACGGCAAGCGGACGAGCAGCAGGGCAACAGCGCAGCGTAGCACAAGGCAGCACCAACACATCAGACATACTACACGGCACACATGCAAGGAACACGGAAGGCACAGCACGCGGATAGGCAAGCGGACGAGCAGCAGGGCAACAGCGCGGTGAAGCACAAGGCAGCACCAACACAGCAGCGACACTACACTGCACACAAGCAAAGAACATGGAAGGCACGGCACGCAGATGGGCACCAAGGCAGCAACACAGCGAAGCACAGGGCAACACTAACACCACAACCACACCACACAGTGAACACAACAGCCTTGCAAAGAACTACATGCAACACAAGCACAACAGGCAGCAAGGCAGCGGCGGGGCGCAGACAAGGCAGTCTACACACATCCAACACGGAGCAAAGCGGCACATCACCTACTCACATCACAAGTGAACCCCGCAGACTGTTAGTTCCCACCATCCGCTGAGCCACAACGAGTCACCCAGACGAACATCCGGCATCACCCAAAGGCAACACAAATATCCCGAACCGAGCGGCCCCCCTAAGAGTGCTTTTGGCGCTCCAATCACCAGACCACCTACTGTTTAGCACTTAGTGAGGGTGCTCACTCCAACAGACAAAAAGTGCCTAGAAAAAAATGGGGAGAGAAGAAA